AGAGAGAGAGAGAGAGAGAGAGAGAGAGAGAGAGAGAGAGAGAGAGAGAGAGACGAAGAGCGGGAGCGAGAAAAAGAGATCGAGGGAGATGTGGCGCGAGGGAGAGCGAGAGGGGGCGTGGCGTGGCGTAGACTAGCTGAGCCGGGCCGCGCCGGGGGTGTGTCTGCCGGGGAGCGGAGCCGTTGCGGCCGGCCCTGCACCAGCCTGCCTCCGGCTAAACCAGGCGTGCTGCAGGCGTGCTGCAGGCGTGCTGCAGGCGTGCTGTAGGCGTGCTGCAGGCGTGCTGCAGGCGTGCTGCAGGCGTGCTGTAGGCGTGCTGCGAGCATGCTGCAGGCGTGCTGTAGGCGTGCTGTAGGCGTGCTGTAGGCGTGCTGCAGGCATCAGGCGTGCTGCAGGCGTGCTGCAGGCGTGCTGCAGGCGGGCTGCATGCGGGCTGCATGCGGGCTGCAGGAGGCGTGCAGCAAAGTGTGCTGAAAGGGCATGCCCTACCTAGGGCTGGCGGGAGGTGAAGACCCCAGTCCGCCACACGCTACCAACACCCCTCTCTCCTCTCCCCCCTCTCTCTTGATCGCGAATCATATCATATGCATCCTCGGCCGTGTGCCTGGGCAGCTGTGAATGTAAAACGTGCATAATATGAATAGTAGTGAGAGTGCACGACGGCGGACGCTCGCCAAGCGGCGTCAGCCTCCGATCTGATCAGTGTAGACGCGCGGCCGAGTGAAACGCACTGCAAAATGGTTTCGAAAATCTTGCTCGAATGCTCTATAAGAAGAAATGGCAGGCATTTGTTTGCCAATTGATGCTTTGTAAGCACGGGAACAAACCCTTTTCGAACTGTCGAGATAGATGGATGACTAATATCGAGGTAAACGGACCTCGATAGGGGTGGGGGTGGGGGGCAATTATACTTTCCCACAAACTAAATTCTTGTTACTCGCTGCAATGTTTTTGCCAAAAATGGTTGATTGTGTATCAAATGAAACGCAATATCGCCGTTAAACAGATATCCGTAAGCTGCGCACGAAACCAAATTCATAGCGATTCAGTGTGACATTCTTCAGTGTTCACCGTGGCAGGGAGCGGCATTCACTTCCCCGACCTGGCATGATGATGAGCCCCTCAGCAGGGCTATGGGCGCTGGTCCCACTCGCCCAGCGGCCCCTGGGGCAGCACGGGGCGTGTGCGTCCGTCACGCACTTGGACACCGCACTACACACCGGTCGGTCGGCTCGGGCCGCGCCCGCCACCGGTTGAGCGCCGCGCCGCGCCACGCCACGCCGTGCTGAGCCGCGCGGCTCCCCGCGGCGGCGCTATTGAACAACCAGTTGCTGTCCGTCCTGTACGGGCTGCTAGAATGTGAGTCCGGGGCCCTTCCGCGCCCCTACTCTCTCTGCCCCTACTCTCTACCCCTACCCTTTACCCCTATACCCTTTGCCCCTCTACCCTACTCCCCAACGCGCCCCCCACAGCGGGGGCGGGCCTAACGGGGCCCTCAGCCCCCCGGCCGCCGCTGCACTGCTGGCGGCCACAGCCCTTGCCACCACCGCCCCCTCCGCCCTCCCCTACCCTACGCCACTGGTTGCGACGCGAGCTTCCCGACCTGAATTCTTTATTAAGCGCGCCATTAAAACTACGTGGAAGTTAGTGGAACTTGCTACTCC